GTTGAAAATACCAGGGCGAAATTAATTTCCTTTGTTCGGGCACAAGGTCAGGAAGAAGAAAAGACTGCCAGCACCAACGGGGATTGTCCTCCATTCACAAATGAAAAAGCCAGGCTGTTCAAGGTAGGGGCAGCTCTAGGCTGATTCCGCATGTTGGCACTGACTATTCTATTGGATTGCGTTACAGTATTAAACATATGCTGGATCCAATGCAAGCAACGCTAGCAAAAGACATGGGCTCCATCGAACCTAGGCCGCGCTTACCCAGGAATCCCCGTACTTACAGCCTTCCGACATAAGCTTGGCCCCAGAACATTTAATTTGGGTGCAACCCCCCGTAGGCACCACACGCGTGGATGAGGACAGCTATTGACGTTGATTATTTCAAACATGGCTGCCAAATCCAAGAACATGAACATTCTCAGAAGGGAACGCTGACCTATTAAGGTCAAGCCAGGGCTGATTTGGACCAGATTTTCCCTTCATTGTGTGGGATGTTTGTTTGTTGGTAGCTTTTGGATTCCACTTAGACCCAGCATCTCAATTTGCATTGAAACGCCCCTACCTTGGACAGGCTTGGATCGTTACATTGGTGAAAAGAGAACGGCTTCGAAAAATATAAGAAAATAAGAAATCCAAAACCCTGAAATAAAAAATGAATGAAGATGACTGACACGACAAAATGACTAGCAAATCGCAGGCATTGCGTGACACTTCTGCTGCGAAATCAAGGTCCTAGTGGGCAAGAGACCGGCACCATACCGATCACACCTGGGAATAGAAGGTGTGCCTCAAAGGTTGATGTAGTTGATCTGATTCCAACCAAACTCTCTTTGTGGCTTGGTTGATTGAGATTTTGTTCTGGATAGCTACCTTGGGGAAACTACCGTGCAAGGAAGGCTGTTCACGGTTCAATGGTTCAACGTCGATATTTTCTTATGACGATTGTCATTGTATAGAGCCATACCCTTTCAACTTCCATTCCTGCCTCCTTTTTTCTGCTTTGGTGGTCTTTGCTGCTTGCGTGTTCCCTGGCCAGAGGGCAAAGAAGCCGCCACCGGCAAGGAATGGGTCAGCGTGATCAACTTCTGCTTTCATATTGCGAACCTGACACGATGACGATTCCAAAATTTTCATTTTATTTACAGCAAGTTAAGCAAACTAGTTTAAGAATTGCTATATTCTTTCCGGGGTTTTGAAACAAACAAAACAAGCACCGCATGTCAAGAGTCAAAAAGATTTCAAAGGCTACCCTCATTTGTCTATGCCAAGCGGGACAAACATGTGAATGGCGGTCAAAATTACTTACTACTTGCGATGGACATGGCCAAAGTGGGTGGTACCCTGTTGGCTGTGAAGGTTTCTACTTTCATGCTAGGTTTAAAAATAGGGTATCGGTAAATGGGTGGCCCTCTATCGGTTTTGAATCTTTTCACACAAATTTGAACATCCCAAGTCCAATCCCTACTACTTTAGCCTTCCAGAAATTTCGTGGGTTACTCATATATATGTGACAATAAAGCTGCTTTAAGCGTGCAACACCGACATTCTATCTTCTGTTACGTGGCTTGCCCATTGTATTCTTTTGTCCCTTCCCTCATCACGGCGGGAATGGCCTAGCTCGGCCTTCGTCCGGACGGTGAAGCATTCCACCCACCTAGCAGAAACGTGCGGAAACGACGGGGAAAGAAACGATCTGCACCACCAGGGTAAACAGGTTAACATGTAACATCCTATTGTCTTTTGAAAGTGCATCGTGAATCATGCAGAATTTTCCCTTCAACCTTCACACAACAATTCGACGCGACATCCCGTCCGGCCTCTAAAGTGTAGTTCCCCCAAAAGGTTGCCGCCCCCCTCGCCGTCCGAAGACAAAGGTCCACTTCAGGTATCACCGTCTGCTCAAGATATTCTCCAGTTCATCCTTCTCTGCCGCCGAAGCAATATATATATATGTTTATATTTATATCTATGTTTATATATATATGTGCATATATATATATATCCCATCTCTTTTTTGCTGACCCCAAAAATTTGAGATCATGGTACATCCACCAATCATCTCCCGGGTTGCCATAGAAATCCAAGGCGCGCAATTGGTCCAGTGTTTCACCTCGCGCATCCCTTCATGAAGAGCTGGGAAGCAGGGATGCCCCGCAAAGCAAAAGATGAAGAGACCATAGGCCTGGGATGCGTTGGCCAAAAGCCGCCCAAAGATTCCCCAAATTCCATGATTTTTTGGGGGTTGATGAACGTTATTGGATTCGTAGATAATTCCCAATGTATTCCCAATGATGACAGCTTAGTAAGCCCGCGTACTAATCAACAGGGCTAGAATCGCTGCACAGATCACACAGACGTTTAACTTCGACGCCCCGATAGGGTTTTTCAAGTGGGGGGCCAAGTTATCCAAGTTATCATCCGAGATATATTTGTATATATTGGCATATACTGATTGATATATACCGCTATATATGTTGACAAGGGGATGGCCTTTTGGAGTACTCCAATTTTGTTTTCCAAGGCCATGGATGCAGACATCAAGTCACTCCCTGCAACCATTGCAGTAGCTACTGCTCAGTCGTTCATCTGGTTGACCATGGAAATTGCCATAAGTTGGGTGCGCATCCCGCATTTCACACATCATATGAAATACATATATATATATATACATATACATATTATATAATTATATTATATTATTATATATATATCCTATTCTATCCACACTATCTTCCCACTACAGATATATAACCATTACATTGGCTAATGCATCACTAGTATTGGATTTTTTCACCCGGCCCATCTGTTGACCCACCAATATATTCGCATTCCGACCCACGTTTCAGTGGCCATGACCAAGTCGACCGAGTGGCGCGAAAGACGTCGCCGATTTCAGGATTTTTCGGCTCTGGAAAGCTCCAGCTGGGCGTCATCATCCTGGGGCATCCAAGTGTCGAAACCTCCAAAAATGTGGAAAATCGTGACACTGTGGATATCGCAGATGCCATCATGAGTAAGCAATAAACATGGAGGTTTCGACTTGGATGACTTCATTAGGCGATATCGCAGATGTCATTAGTAAGCAATATATAAACATCCTCAGTCGAGGTGGGGAGTTGAGCCCAGGATTCACCAACAAACGAGAGGTCACGCCACGAAACGTGGCAGCTCGCTCTGTCGTTGTGAGAACATCAAGTTCATAGGATCAGCTACAGAAATGTCACCAACATGGACACATTTACTGTCTGGTACCAACTATTAACTATTAACCTTTGAATCCGCTATTCAATATGCGTCCGTGAAAAACGAGTGGCAGGATGTTGCTTCTCACCAAGAATTTTTTTCGAGCTCCCAAATAAATAGAATTGTTGGTGCGAATATCAGCAACATGGAAACATTCTGAAATATTTACTTTCACCAGCACGAACATATCTGCTACCACCTGAAAGTCTACCTGAAATGTCTACAATGGTTGAGGGTGGGATCCAATAATCCCTCATAAACCAGGCATGCGCCACCAAGCCACAGATCTGCCACAAACGCCACGCTGGCGATCAGCAGAGCAATCAGAGACCTGGAGAGATCACCGGAAGAATCCAGTGGAGAGGAAAAAAAGAAGAAATCGCTGGAAAAACGACACCTGTTGAAAATTCAAGAAAATGATATACCATGATGAAAAATGTACAACAATGTATCGGAAAATTGGAAATAGTAAGAATGAATATGTAAATAGCCTGCAATATCCTGCTGATCAACCAAACTTGTTTTTCATTCCCCACATCTTTGTGTCTTGTTTTTGATTCTGTATCCCGCCGCCTCCTCCTCCTCGTCCTCCTCCTCCTCCGCCGCCTCCCCTCTTTCACACACAACTTTGTCACAAACCATCTTTCACACACCATCTTTGTCAACCACCATCTTTCACACACAACTTTGTCACACACCATCTTTCACGCACAACTTTGTCACACACCATCTTTCACACACCATCTTTCACAGACCATCTTTTACACACACCATCTTTCACACATATCTTTGTCAACCACCATCTTCGACTTTGCATGGCAGGCGTGGCACTTGGTCACATACACCTTCGTTTTGCGTGGCAGGCGTGGCACTTTTGGCACGGTCGCCGTTGGTCGCCGGTGACGCCGCGCCACTTTGCGTGGCAGGCGTGGCACTTGGTGACATGCACCTTCATTTCATGTGGCACGTGTGGCACTTGGTGACATCCACCCTCGTTTCGCGTGGCAAGCGCGGCACTTGGTGACATCCACCTTCGCTTCGCGTGGCAAGCGTGGCACTTATGGCACTGGGCTGGCTCTGGCGGGGCGCTTGGACCCACCATCTTTAACACACCCTCTTTCACACACCACTTTGTCACACACCATTTCACACACCACTTTGTCACACACCATCTTTCACACACCACTCTGTCACACACAATCTTTGACACACCATCTTTGACACACCATCTTTCACACACCACTTTGTCAACACACCATCTTTCACACACCACGTTGTCACACACCATCTTTGTCACCCACCATCTTTCGGACACCATCTTTCACACACAACTTTGTCACACACCATCTTTCACACACCATCACAGACCATCTTTCACACACCATCCTTCACACACCACTTTGTCACACACCATCTTTCACACACAACTTTGTCACACACCATCTTTCAACACACCATCTTTCCCACACAGCTTTGTCACACACCATCTTTCGCCACACCATCCTTCACACACCACTTTGTCACACACCATCTTTCACACACATTTTTGTCACACGCTCTCTTTCACACACAACTTTCACACACACACACCATCTTTCACACACAACTTTGTCACACACACACACACCATCTTTCATATACAACTTTGTCACACACACACAACTTTGTTTTACTTCTCGATCCTCCACCACCTCCTTTGTCTTTCCTTCTTTGCCCGTCCCCGCTACAACATTTGGTGCTCATTATTGGAGGAAGTTGCCTTGTGGGGTTGTCCGGTCCTTTAATCCTCAAACATGCCGCTGGGCGACGCGAGAGAGACATAGGCATAGACTCGCAAAGGGATAAAAATCATGACCGTGGAAAGAAGTGTGCAAACCAAAACAGCCTCAGATCGTGCCAATCAGGAGGCTGTCAGGGATGAAAGAGGACTGGAATCCACATGAAACCTCCTGAAGATCAGAAAATCAATCAGAAAATCCCTCCCTGGATCTCCTGAAGGTCATAAGATCATAACATTTTGGACGGGATTTGGATCCAGAGGATTTTGCGAAATGCCCAACTTGGAAAACCCCGTGGATTTTGGTCCTTTGGGAACCCCATTCATCTCAACAGTCGCAGGACAGCGACCTTGAAATTTTTTCCGTGGTTGATCCCTTTCGTTGGCAACCAACTCATCCCAGTCGTTGGGACTGCTCATTGGAAAGGAAAAAAATAGATAGCTTTGATTGCTCAAACCATAAACCACTTAGTCTTCTGATACTACTGTTCAAACCTTCATGATGTATCATTTCTGGTGAAACTCCACCTCACTGTTCCTTGAATGAGGATCAACTGGGTTTGTCTGAAAATAGTGTACCCCTAAACCCTTCATGGTTCATCACTATCCCTATTCAATGGTATCTTATTGGAGATATCCCCTATGATCAAACCCAACTAAACCAATCAGCTGTTTCTGGGGCCAAGTCACGTGGAGCTCATCCACTCCCAGCAGGCCTTGCACATTGCTTCCACTCCTCGATGTTGGGAGATGTTTTATCGGGGATCGCCGTGAATTCATGATGTTCAAATCACTAATAGGTTATCATTAAATGAAACAATCACATAAAATGTGTTTGTATATGTTCCTATTACTTATAAAATCATTACCAAAGTTGTGCTATCAGTGATTTATCTTCATAATGTCTCTGAACTCTAGATAGTGCGTTTTCGTAATTTCGCAACGCATCCTTAAGAGAAGGGGGTCACAAAGCCAGAATAACTATCATCCTCCTCTTAGAAGGGTCGCCAGAATCAGAGATTCAATGTCAACCCGAGTTCAAACCACACATGCAGGTATCCCTCAAAAAAAAGGTACTAGAGGGAGCACATATTATCATTTGGTCTTGGCTGCAAATTGGGTTCACCCCAAGGTTTTTCTTGTATATCCCATATCTATATCCATTAAACATCCGAAAAAATGCTTGCTTCCATAGCCTCCACACCCTCCAAGAGTCATCACCAAAAAGGTCACAACGGCAACCCAAAGCTCCAGAGCAGTTGCCACGGCCACCAAATCTCGGTGCTCATGAGGATCGGGGAGCCCCCCGTTGGAATCGAAAGATTGGTACCCTCTGGTTATTTAACATAGCCATGGTATAGATGGCCTATTTATAGATGATTTTCCTACCTGAGAAGGGGGGACGAAAGCCAGCCCCTAGCCGAAATCATTTTGGTTTTGCAAAGAAATGTCGCGGTAGCGTAGGCTATGATCCAAGTTTGCCGTCTGAAAGGTGAGACCTGACGGTCAGGAGACAAAAACATGCAAACAAGAGAAAATAAACCCCGAAAACTGCAAAGTGAATGAAGTCGAATAAATATCTGAAAACAGCAATGCTTGCAGCTGCAATTGCTTTTGCATGTGCAAATAAAAGCGGTAGCGGGACTGCTCCTCATTGCGAGCAAGGTCACAAGGATTGCGCATGAGGATTTCCTGATGGAATGAAGCGGTTGAAATCAATATCCTGGGGAGTAGGACCTCACGGTCTGAAACCATCTGCGGCACCTTTGGAGGAATCTCGTGACTTGGTTTAGCTTGTTGAGATCTGAGAAAGTTGGGTTTAATTGAAACCCTTGCCGATGTAGCTCTGCCAGGTCGGCAAACAGGTTTCATGGAGCCAAGCCCGGGCACCATCCAGCAATACTTAATTCCAAAGGCCAGGATTGATCACCGTACCTGGCGGGGCCACGACACTGACCTCTCGAACTGCCATACCAAACACCGTAATCTCCGCAACTATGGGATATTTCAGCCATAGCCATTCGGTCTCGTCCGTTTTTGTCTGGCCTTCCTCCATTTTTGTTCCTTCCAGCAACAAGAAGTCTTTTTAAAACATTGTCTATATATATATATGACACAACTTGCCTGCATGTTCCTTTTTTTTCACGCTTGTCCTTGCCTTGCAACCCTTCGCCACTCCTTCCTCGGTATCACTCCTCATCCCCTTGCAAACTGTCTTTTGCCGAAGCCCAACGGACGCTGCTCTCCGTTGAGCTTCGGATCCTTAATTTTTTCAATATGCTTGCCTCTATGTTCCTAGCTTTTTCAAAGCTTTGCCTTTCCTCCATTTCATGCCCGTTGAGCTTCGGATCCTTAGTTTTTTCAATATGCTTGCCTCTATGTTCCTACCTTTTTCAAAGCTTTGCCTTGCCTCAATTTCATGCCTTTTTTTCAAACCTTTTCCTGTGTTCCCACGGTTTTTCCAGAGTTTCCTTCCTGTAATTTCCTCATTTTCCCAACGGTTTCCTCGATTTCCTCGGGTTTTTCCAAACTTGCCATGCATTTTTTCCTCCAGCTTAATGTTTTTTCACAATTTTCCTTTATGTTCCTCCATTTTCCCCTTGTTTCTAACGATGTTCCTTCATTTTCCTTAGTTTTTTCCTACCTTTTTCCTTCCGTTTTCAGGGGACCTAGGGAGAACCGAACCCCACCGTCACCAAATTGCCTAGTGGCACATGCCCCCCTAAAAAAATCCAATTGGCAACCCTTATCACCACCCGATATCGAGATTTTGGTGCACCTGGGCAACCTCCCCCCCCACACCCCCTATACTCACTTCGTTCGCGAAAATCGGCTGGCTTTCGTAATTAATACCTCCTTTTTTGGGGGGGATTTTCCATGGCTATGTTAAATAACCAGATGGTAAGATTTGCCAAGAACTGAGTCATGTGGGTAAAACAATGATAAACCACCCATGACTGGGAATGGTGATGGTGGTTAATGGTTATTAACATGGGTAATAGTTAATACTTATATTAATGGTGGTTAATGGCTAGTTAATGGTTATTACTATTACAATAATGAGTAGTGTGGGTAAAAAAATGCCATAAACCACCCGTGACTGGGAATGGTAAACATCCCACCTATAAAAATGGTGATGACTGGGGGATGTGTTTAATTTTTGTTTTACCCACATCATATCAGTTTCAATGATGAGTCCTTAGCAAAGGTAAATTGGTAAATTGAAGTATGTACGTAAGTTCAACACACAATTCGCCACTTTAAGAGGGGCTCGGAGTCTGAAAAATGTCAGGAAGAAGTGTTTCACATCCGCCCCGAGCTAGGCAGTGGCCTCATCCAATAAATCTTTCAGAGTGATTGGTCAGAATGTGAGAGTTTCATCATGTAGTGATTGAGTGCCTGCAAGTAGAAACCCCAAATAAACATAAAAAGCGATGGCGTGAATATTCACAGCTAAAGGGCTAAAGGGCCTCCCCGCCTCCCCTTTACTTTGTAAAGAAAAACTCGAGGTAGTCCCACAGGAGCTACCTTTCGTGCTGAACTTCATTGATGGTCCTCTGCGTTGTTTTCCGAAGGCGACCAATTTCAAAGCCGCTTTTTTGGTGGGGTTTGGCCCCCGAAAAATCAGCCAGGACTTGTTCATGCGGGGTTGGCATTCGGTAATGTTGCCAACTATTTGGAGGCAAACTGCCCCACTAAAGATCAACAAATACTCTTCCTGTTGAATTTAACAGAATTCGCTATCCCAAAAATCACCGGTTCTTTGAAAAAACCACCGGTTCATCGAACTACCTGGGCCATTTTGAATGGCAAACTGATCCACTGGGCGGCCGCACATTTGCCGCGCCTCAGCTCCACCAGGACGAAGTTCGGTCAATTTGGGTGGAAACCCAGCTGAAACTGTTTAGAAAGCAGGGTGATCACAGGTTGACTATGGTTTAATATGGTTTAATATGGTTCAATGATGGGATGATCAAGTAGCTGGTGATCAAGCAGCAACTTCACAATTGGTCAAAGTCGGAAGAACCAGATTGCACCAGTTTCCGCCAAGCTGCAAGCCACAAGAGACCTGCGGGTTGTATGGCAATGTTGTTATTGGATCTTTAGGGGCTGGAAATGGCCAAAGAATTATCCAATCTTAGGAAATTTCGGACTGCCCAACTCCAATCATTTGATTTCTTGGTCCATTCTCTTCCCAAATGGTGAGGTTTTTCTTTTCCGAATCTTCAAGACCTGGGTGCGTTTGTGAAGAACTCTTTAGAAATCTTGTTGATGTCTATTGACATAGCTTCAAGAGTGACACCATATGTTGTGAGATCTGCCCCTCATCTGGGTATAGAAAAGGCACCTCATATGGGATCTAGCGAGGTGATCTTACAGCACTTCCCAACGGTGATTTTACGACATGTTTAGCCATCCCCGTGTTTGGCAAGGTGAAAATCCCGGGGTTTTGACATTTGGGGTGTCTTGGGGTGTCTTCGGGTGTTTTAGTTTTGGGGATACCCACCTTCGATTGATGAGGAATGTTCGATCGCCATGCACATGGAGATGTTACCCTCTGAAATAGGATTCAACCCGCTGCCAACCAAAACGCTGTCATCACGATAGCAGCAACGTAAACTCCACATCTTCACAGGAAAAATCAACATCAATGGATCAGAACTGGAATTTACAATGGATTTATACATGTTACACCAACAAAAACCGAACAAAAAGCATCATCCAAAACTAGATTCCCATAGATAATCCATTTCTAGGAAACCCACCATTTCCACCCTGGTTTTTTATGGATAAACCATGGATAAATCCACCAATTCTCCTGGCGAAATTCGTCGCCTCTGCCAGGAAGGTGAAGTCCCTGTGCTGCGACGTCCAGGTGCCGTGGCGAAACCGCGCCAGCTGCAGGGACTGGCGACGTTGGCTTCCAGATCACGACGTGGAGAGCCAGGTTTCCAGATGTTTCATAGGGACTTTCGTAGATGATCATATGGATATGGATCAATACCTATGAAAATACCATTTTTAGGGGGATGAACATCCATTTTAACCCAGCTATTTTGATGTGAACTACAGGGGTACCTTGGGTTTTGACACACTGCCATATTATCATTCATAGATCATCTACAAATGATCATAAATGATGGTTAATAGGTGATCATATGACTACCATAATAACCATCATTTATAGGGGATGATCATATGATCATTCATAGGAGACTGCCATTAATTATAGATACACTTTATGTTGGTAGATGATCATTGATAGGAGCAGTTTGATGTGCGAGACTATGGAAATCAATCCTGGGGTTATCTTGGGATGTACCATCTTTAAGTTCAGTAAATCAACGAACTTTCTATGGGCCATGGCTTCAATAGCAAACTGTAACAAATTACCAGAGGGTAGTAGATAAAAATAGGATACGACCATTCTACATCATTTATGACAACAGGGACTACCGTATGATTATACATACACTTTATGTTTATGCCTGCGGACCGAAAACCGTTCCCGTAAAACGCACGTTTTTGAATATCGCGATTGTGGGGTGGGGTGGGGTGGGGTGGGGTGGGGTGGGGTGGGGTGGGGGGGCATGTTAACGTTCCTTGTACTTCGTACATGATATATTGCCATGCTGCTAAGATCTCTGGGATTATTTACTACGTTACATGTTGCTACGCTGCTGAGATCTCTGGTATCGTTTACTACGTTACATACATGTTGCTACGCTGCTGAGATCTCTGGGATCGTGTGCTACGTTACATATATGTTGCTACGCTGCTGAGATCTCTGGTATCGTTTACTACGTTACATACATGTTGCTACGCTGCTGAGATCTCTGGGATCGTTTACTACGTTACATACATGTTGCTACGCTGCTGAGATCTCTGGTATCGTTTACTACGTTACATGTTGCTACGCTGCTGAGATCTCTGGGATCGTTTACTACGTTACATGTCGCTACGCTGCTGAGATCTCTGGGATCGTTTGCTACGTTACATACATGTTGCTACGCTGCTGAGATCTCTGAGATCTCTGAGAGCTTGGCAATGGAGATGCATTCACAAGAATGCTGACTGCCAGCTGTTTACTACGCATGCGTTGCAGCGATGACGCTGAAAAACGAAAAAACGCGCCCCAAGTTTTTCCAGGATTTCCAATCATCAAATTAGCACGGCACTGTGGTAAAATCACCATTTTTTAAAAAACTGTGCGTTTTATGGGAACGGTTTCCGGTCCGGCGGGATGTTTATGATAAGAAAGAAAAAATGTACAGTAGTTGTGATACCTATATAGTGTATCTATAATCATATTATGGTCGCTATATATTTCAAACATTGTAACTAGCATAGTTCAAAACATATGGTAAACATTTGACAACCATAGTATCAATAGCCATATTACATATGTAACATATGTTTCAGGATGGTGGCTACATTATAATACCAAACGGTAATATTAAATATGAAATATTGAAGCTACTGTATCTACCATATCTCAAAAATAACCATATTATAAATAACCACAGTATAATAACCATCATTTTTGATAAAATGTATAAAGTGTCTATATAGTCATATTTGTGAAAATAGATATATATATATATATAACGTTAATAGAGATTATAACTACCATAATTTCAAAAGGTCATAAAAGAGCCATCGCCATATTCATAAAACTTTTGACCCAAGTTTACCAGAAAATTATGGCCGACTTGACTGCTGTTTCCAATATATCCCATGAAATATCCCATTCTATATATATATGTATATATATGTGTATATATATACACATATAGAGAGAGAGAGAGATATCCCATTGACAATTACATATTTTCATTTGAAATACCATGGCTGATGTATGTAAATTATCTATGTACATATATATATACATATATATATACATATTCCCATCTATATCTATTCTATCCCCATGCGATTCCCCATTTCCATCTCCCGGCCTCACCGATGAGACACGCCGTGAAGGCGGTGAAGGCCACCACCAGCAGCAGCAGCGCCACGGCCCAGTAACTGGTCAAACGAAAGGCGTAGGGCACCGCCAGGACGCCTGCGAAACGGCTGCGAAACGGCTGCGAAATGGTGGGAGAAATGGCCGAAATGGTGAAGTTCATGTTGGTTTTCTTGGCTTTCTAAATGTTAGGTTGTTGGTTATGTGAGATCATTGGGTTTCAATGGATAAATGGGTTAATTGGATATATGTTAATAGCTATAAGAGAAATTGGTTGGAAACTTGGGTTGAGAAACAACCAAAAATCCGGATCCCAGCGAAAATCTGTGGTTGGGAGATGGTTGGGTGAGTAGGTACCATGGGGTGTTCCTGGGGCCATAAAAATTGGTCCAAAGGGGTTTTTCGGCCATATGCAAAACCGCTGGATGTTACAACTGGTGGTAAATGGCGACGAACATTTCGTTGTGGAAAGCAGTGGTTTAGAAAAATGCTCTACAAATAGTGGGCTCTCCACAGTCCTACGCTGGATGGTTCACCGGGTCCACCTCAATCTTTCTGACTTTGGGGGATCTTTCTCCGCTGGATATCTCCTTGATCAGAATTTGGGGATCTCATCATATGTTCATTCCACTTGCCATATGAAAATTGGAGAATATAAAAATCATCCAATTCTTCTTCTTCCACTTGAAGTCAAATCATGTAAGGTTTTTTTTTCATCCACTTGATTTCCCTTCATTATTTTTCCACGATAAATGGCCACTTGAAGTATAAAAATCATCCAACTTTCTCCAATCAAAAGGTCCCTGCTTTTGTTTCGCCATGCGGCCGCTGCCCACCATGGTGTTGGCCAAGTTGAAGATGGTTTCGCAGCTGCTCATCTCCTGGCGTCCAAAAAAACGACCAGCGACAAAAAAACCTCCTGGATTCGGAAAATTCACCATGTTTAACATGTGAAAATCGATATTTCACATGTTAAAATCGTGTTATTCACCATTTAATTGATATTCCCTAATGATTCAACTATCGTGTTTCGATCTGATGTTTTGAATTATATAATCGGTTTTGCACATCAGATCCAATTATCTTTTAAGACCTTGGAATCCAAAAGGTGTGGACAAGTGGTGTGGCTTGGATTCACTGTTGGATCCAACTGCGCCATGAAATCACTGGGTGAATTTCGGGCCCGAAAACTGAAAAAGGGATTGGAAAATGGAGGTGATTTCAATTACCATCTGATATCAAATGTCATGCTCCCAATTTAAAATTTATCCCAATCCCAATAGGATTTTCAATGTGTTATAACTATTGAGTGGTTTCATCCCCCAAAAAGTGTGCCTTGATCTGGCTGCATCATAGTAATTCACCATCCAGATTTTGTTGAGTTTTTGGGAGTGGTTCCGCACTAAAAATTCAACCATCATCTCTTGTGTCATGGTGAGACGGTGAGATGATTTAGCCAGATTTAGAGCAATGAGGTGAACTTAACAATAACCCAGTCCCATCCTTTCCCACTGGTTATTTAACAATATTTCTGTATCCCAAGTCCAACAATATGTCCAACAATATTTCCAACAATATTTCCAACAATAAGCCAACTTTGGGGGAAATGTCTGTATCCCTCTTTTTTCATGGAAAGCTATGTGCGGTGACTTTACCATATTTTCGTGGGTGACTGGGATGGTGACTACAATCGGCATTACATTACCAAGCATCCCAGCATCCCTTCCAGCCATTTCCAGCCCTCTCAGATTTGTCATCCCATTGGGCAAATTGTGGGATCCCAGAAGTTAAATCATCCAGAAAAGGATCTGGGGATTTTGCTCATCCCAGCTATCCAGCGGATATGGCGTGTTGGAATGCTATGGATCAACATGAAGAATCATCCCAGAAAGAGATGTAAGCCATGGCACAGATGTAAACCATGGCAGGGACATTGAAAAAAATCACTAGCAATTGGATCATCCAAACCCCGTGATTTCCAATTTTGTTCGGCAATTCACCATCGTTAAGTTCGGTAAATCAACGAACTGAACAAAATGGGCCATTGAAGCAATAGCAAGGTGTGTTTTCACAAATGACCAGAGGAAATCAATCCACATCAACCCATAGAATCAAACATCGGCTGATGATCAGAGGAAAATTACCAGCCGAGGTAACATATGGATGATAGTTATGAAAACAATGGATCTTAACATATCCTAACCATTCATGAAATTCATGATCATTGTATAACAAAAACATTTTTTGATCTTAACATATGATCCATAACCATCTATTCATTGAATATGATCAAATTCATGATCTAATGGATCTTAATGGATCCAAAAATCCACGCTGATTCCGCTGATTTTCCCAGCTTTCCCAGCTGCGCGCCTCCGCCGCTTCCGACGACTCCTTGGCACCGTCCAGGTCCGCATTCTCCTGGCGAAGCTGCGAAGCGCGTGGCGATTTGCGCCGAAGCCAGGAACTTGGGATTTACCCTCTGGTAATTTAACATAACTATGGAAAATCACCGTTTTTAATGGGAAAATCCACTATAAATGGTGATGTTCCATAGTTATGTTAAATTACCAGAGGGTAACCATCAAAATTGATAAAACTCGTGATTTGATCAAAACCTGAGAGAAAAAGTAGCAAAACTCAAGGTGTTCTTTCCAGTTTTGGGGGCTCAAAGGTGCCAAATACACATTGATATCAGAGTGACCATGAGCAGAAACCATGTGGTGCTCATCCCAGGCATCAGTGGCTGATAACGACATGAAAAAATAAGCCAGCTATGGAATAGCTCCAGATGTATATGGGATAACCATAGTATAACCCAGTTATTCATATACATATCTATATAATATGATATATATATTACATAGATATAGATACTTAGAATATCTGCACGTATGTGGGTTATAAACCACATTTGCACTGCCTGGGTTCCTACAGAGCTGGTCGTTGTTCGACCGTCGTGTCCTGCGAAGGTGCCAAAATCAGGTCCGGGACCTCCAGGCTTTCGGACCTCGGCGGCTGATTTTTGTTGCTGATTTCAGATGGTAAACCACCACCATGTTGATATGGTTATTAACAATGGATCCATGTATCCACCATAACAATTAACGTTATGATCTTTATATAGCTATTGTTATATATATATATATCTTATGGATCAATATGATATTGCGGAATTATATAGCCTTAATAATATATGATCCACAGGCTATAATCACCACTTGAAACCATCCGGCTTTCAGGGTTGTTTTTTGACAAGCTCCAAACAGGTGCAGAAATCACACGCATGATGTGAATCTGCAGATTGCCAACCAATAAACCATTGATGTGGGCAAATTACCTAACCCAAAGATTCAAATAAAAGATTGGTTTATTGGTTGGCAACCAATCCAAATACTAAAAAAGCAATTATAAACCAATTACTTATAAAACCCAATAGTATTTACCTAGTATAAATATTATAAATCCATAGTTATTGCGATTCACCAAGCACTTCACCAGTCCCTGTGGAATTTTAAAAACTTAGAAGTTGACATGTGGTGGCATGCACCAACCATAGCATGGCCACTGCACAAGGATGAAACATGACTGCCATTGCAAAATGGCTCAAGGGCGAGACGAAAAAGGTCTTGCCTAGCAGCTGCTGCTTCAGTTGTTGATCCACGGGTTATGAGCCCAAAGGATCTCAGCTGACATGGAGCTTGCCAGTCGTCGTGAGTCTTCTCTCCAGCGAAGAGCTGCTGCCGCTGTTAGCGCTGCGAATGCTGCCAGCTGCGCAGACGACCTGATGGAGGAGATGTTGGAAGAAGCTGCTGGGTCTGGAACTGGTGGGTCTGTTGGAGCTTTGACTGTTGAACCTAACACCACTGAACTGAATAGTGGGGGTATGTTGGATGCTTTGGGACCTGTAGGACCTCCGTTGTCTTTTTCCCCTGGTCAGCCACCCATGTTAGTTGAGAGAGCTAAGGGAATGCAAAACCTCGAGGTGAAACAAAATGTTGAAAACACACCTGGTGTCAAAAGGGTCGTTGTGACAGAGCAACAAACTCGGAACCCACCAAATGAGGGGACTGGAACTACCACCGAATCAGCGCAGGGGATTGTGAATGAACATAGTCCTAGAGATGGTGCTGGTAAGGGAAAGGGGTCTAGCTCTGAGTCTGGCAGAAGGGAACCCAGAAAAACTGTTGCCGCAGAAGCACAACACTCAAACCGGGATGTGCAGAGCTCACGTGTGAGGGGTTCTGAGGGTGTTGAAAATGTGTCGCAGGACTCACGAAGGAGGGGTTCTGTTTGTGAAAATGTGTCGCAGGGCTCACGAATGAGGGGTTCTGTTTGTGAAACTGTGTCCCAAGACTCACGCATGAGGGGTTTTGGTTGTGAAAATGTGTCTCAGGGCTCACATGTGAGGGGTTCTGAGGGTTGTGAAAATGTGTCTCAGGGCTCACATGTGAGGGGTTCTGAGGGTTGTCAAAATGTGTCGCAGGGCCTCACTGAAAAGGGTTCTGTTGTTGTGAGTGAAACCATGCCTCAGGGCTCCGCGAAGGGTTCAGGGGTTCAAAGGTTTTACATAGGTGATGGGCCTCAGGGCTCCGGAGCCGTTGTTGTCGCGCCTCAGGGTAGCAAAAATGTTGTTGTGGTTCCAGACCAAATGGGGGAAGTTGTGAATCCCTTCTGGAGCGAAACTCAGCAGCGTGAAGCTGTTCGAGAAGCATTCGGGCCTGGGTACGATGTGAGTGCCTTGGGTTTGCAGCCGGGTTCAAATGCGTCGACACCCCAAAAAGTTCATGTGGAACAAAGGGAAAGTGTTGATGTTGAAATGGATCCAATAGAACTGTTCCGATTGCGTTGTTTGAGAGATGCTGAAGAAAAGTTTCGGCAGGGTTTGTTGAATATGGGGATGAGTGCCAAGGAGTCAAGGGTTGAAAAACATGAGCATGAAAAAGGGTCGCATGGTTCTCAAAGTTCATATGTTTCGGCAGTGGATTTCCAAGAGCCTGTTGCCCCCAAATCTCATGATGTGGTTGAATCCCAAATGGTTCATGATCCATATGTGAGGGTTGTACCTGAAAAGGCTGTGACGTTCACGAGGGTTGCACCTGAAAACGTTGTGTCAACTGTGTCAAATGTTGTTGAACCATTTGTGCCTAGGCCACCACCTGGACCTCCACCACCATCGCCGCCAAGAATGTTGAATAGTGTATGTGGGTTAGGGTCAGTAACACCTCAATTCCCTCCTGCACTGCCACCTTTTCCTGCGTCTGTGGCAGGAAACTTGCAAAACTCAGGTGGTGAAAATCCATCTGAAAATCTCAGGACGGTGGAGCTTCCGAAGTTGTCCATGGATGCCACTGCTCTGCAATTTGGTGATTGGCTCAGCATCATCGATTCTCTCATGGGTGACTTGTCGTACTCGTCGGGGGATTGGTGGACCATGGTCAGGGGAGCTGTTGATCAGTGTTATAGGGATTGGTTGAATGTTGGACCAATTGAAAGGCTTAGGCTTCGACCACAGGTGGATCCTAGGGTTCATCTTTGGCCTCGAACGGAAAGAAGGGCTTTAGCCATGCTTTTGGGAGCCATTCCTGACCCCATCAAAGAAGAAGTGATTTCAGCTCGAAAACTGACCACTGACCAAGTGTTGTACAAGTTGTGCATCACCTTCCAACCGGGAGGTGCTACTGAGCGCACGAAGTTGTTGCAGAACATTACGGATTCCAAATGTGGTTCCAATGTTCATGAAGTTTTGGACTGGATTCGAACCTGGCGACGGTTTGTTCAAAGGGCCAGGGAACTCCATGTCACGTTGCCTGATGGTTTGGTTTTGTTAGGGGCTTTGAACAAATGTACTGATGTTTTGAGTGGAAAATCCCCACAAGTGGCATATCGTCTCAACATGATCCGCCAGCAGTTGAATGTGGATCAGTTGCCAACAGCAGAGACGATCTTGAGCTACTCCGAGCATCTGCAAGCTGAAGCTGAAGAGCTGACTTTGAGCACGCCTGCGAAGGCAACTTCGGCTGTGAGGGCGGCTGCTTTGGGTGTGCCACCGCCTCCTGGGATCCCTCAAAATCCTCAAAGTTCCCAAAACCCCCAAAATGAATCGGATCAAAGGTTTCCGAACTCAAAAAGAAGACCTTGTAGGTATTGGATGAGTGAAAAGGGGTGTCAAAGGGGTGATCAATGTTCTTTTGGTCATGCCAATTTGGATCCCCAAAGCAACAGATGTTTCAGTTGTTCTGCTGTCGGTCATTCCAAACGTGATTGTCCTTTGAAAAATGCAGGGTCTGACTCAAAACCTGATCCCACCACAAAGAGGGTTGCCAAAGTGTCAAGACCAAGTGGAAAAGGGACCCCCGAAAAGTATGGGAAGGGTATTGGGGAACATAGTAGCCCTGAAAAAACTACTGGGGATGTTGCTGCAGCAGAGAAGTCTCTTGGATCTGAAACTGCGTACAGGACTGGGCCGGAAACTGGGCACGGGGGAGAAAGTACTCCTGAAAGGGTCACTGGGCTGTTGAGTGAAGCCGCTACTCTCCTGAAAACCCTCAAACCGGTTGCCAAGGCTGTCAAAATCAAAAGGGTGAATGCTCCTGATGGACCCACAGGTCTTTTGGATGGTGGGGCAACAAACGCTTTGAGAAGGGGAACCCCCAAAGAACTGGCTGAAGCTGATCCTGTTGTTGTGGAGTTAGCACATGGGTCGGTTGAACTGAAACAACATGCTTTGACGGGGACCATTCTCACTGAACATGCGGTTGAACCCATTGTGCCATTAAGGGGATTAATTGACCTTGGTTTTGTCATCAAATGGAGTACCCATGGTTGTGAAATCAAACACCCCTCAAGAGGAACCATTCAGTGTTGGTTGCGAAATGGGTGTCCTGTTGTGTCTGAAAAACATGCGTTGGGGTTGATTCATGACATTGAGTCTTTGGAGTTAGCCAAAAGAATCCCTTCTGAAAGTCCTGAAACCGTGTCTGAGACTGCGCATGAATGGTGGTCACAAAGGTTTCCGAATGTTCCCAAAAGAATTTGGAGATACATGAAGGGTCAAGGGGTTGACACTCCAGGGGTTCACTTGCCTTGGAATCGTGCCCAAAGGCGTCGACATGCCCAAGCTAAGGCGATTGTCATCCACTTGTATGCCGGTGAAGCATCTAAGGATTGGAGTCTTGGTTGGCCTGCTGACGTTGAAATGATCACTTTGGACGTTCGAGATGGTCAGAATGTCCACGATGCTGCAACTTGGGCCTACCTTTGGCGACTTGCTGCATCTGGTCGTGTCGTAGCTGTGTTGGGGGGACCACCATGTCGTACTGTGAGCAGATTGTTGGAGAAAACACCAGGACCACCAAGGTTGCGTTCAAGAAATGGTCCTGAAAGGTTTGGGTTTGAACACCTCAATGAATCCCAACAACAAAAAACGGACAGTGACACTGCGCTGTACCTGAAACAGTTGGGGTTATACATGCATGCTCACGAGTCATGGGATGGTTCAAGATGGCCCCACATGAAACATGTTGCGAATAGGGTTGGATTTATGTTGGAATCCCCTCAAGACCCCAAAACTTACCTCCAAAATGGTGAAGGGGATGAGTCTGCGAGTTTTTGGGCTTGGGATGAGACAAGGGATTTTCTTGAAGCTTTCCAACCAAATGGAATGGAGTTGATCAGTTTTGACCAGGGTGCGTTTGGGCATACTCGGAAAAAACCCACAACATGTATGACCAACCTCCCTGACATGAAAGAACTAGATGGCTGTCGCTCTGGTGAACGTGAACGACACTTGGCGGTGAACTTGGATGAAAGGTTGAACCAAACTGCCTCTTGGTCACTTTGGGCACCAGGGTTGAGGGCTGCCATCAAAACGTCTCTGTTGGTTTTGGTTGAATGGTATGGGATCTCACCACCAAAATTGTCCAAAAGTTTGGGGTTGGATCAATGGAAACAACATATCAACCAAGGACATCAACCATACCGACGGGATTGTAGGACATGTATACTCAA